CAGGAGGTGCATTGTCTGAATGCATGGGGCTTTTGGATGGGGCAGGAAAGAGCAGGTGGCCTGGGCAGTCTGAACAGCTCTTGCCTTTCTTTTCATATGCCTGACCCAAGCTGAGAGCTCTCGGTGCATCCAGAAAGCAAACACCTGCTGAACACATCATACAGACTCCCTTCCCAGGCTCGTTGAACCCTCTACCCCCAAAATCCTTGCTGAATCCCCCCACTGTACCATTTATTATTACTGCTACACGGGGTGAGGGAGGGCATAATGCCTTGAAAGCTGGTCCATGCCAATGCTGATGACCGGTGGATGGTGCAGGGGGATGCCTGACTGACCCAGTAACTGCATCCTAAGCATCAAACCTACCTGTAGCTCGGCCGTGTCGACAGGGAACAACACACAAGGGCTCCTGGAACTGAAATGGCTGGTCTCTGGTAACTAAATGGAGGTGGTTTCCCAGCCCTCTCATCTTCCACCCTCCAGCCGTTGTAAGGCCGCCAGCCTGGTTGCATGGGGATGCGTGTTCAGGTACAGAAGCCTGCATGAACTTGTTCCCCCGAGGCCCATTACTTCCATTAGAATTACTTCATCCATGTGCTCATTCCCCTGATGAAGCCCTGATATCTGAGGGGGGTTAGGGTGAAGCAGCAGGGTGGAGCAGCCCAAGGGAATCCTAAGTGTCTCGCTGTAGCACTTTGCCTTGAACATTATCACCATGCTAATGGATCCCTGCTCCCAAGGCCCCCCCAAGAGAAGCTAATGCTTCTGTGGCTACCCATGTGTTTTCAGACAGGCACACCCTTCCTTCCCCTGAGTGGAAGCAGTAATGAAGGCATCCATTAGTGGGGCTGACAGATCCCCTTTCAATGGATCGGAGGCTCCGGAGCGCCTGTCAAAACAGCCCATAAAGAGGGAGAAATAGGTCCCAGAAGCCCTTCTTCTAATTAGGGATAGAGATAGGCCAGGACATTTGATCCAAAACACACACACACAAAGTTAGAAGTCACAGCTCAGGCCTGTCGCTTGAAGATGGCTCCAATGGCCTGACCCTTGGGAAAGTCTGAACATAAATCCAGATGCAAACTTCTTGAATGGCGCCCTTCAACGTAACTGAGCCCCTCTTGGTTAGATGACACGATGAGCAGGAAGAGAGGATCCCTGGTCCTGTTTTAAGGATGCACTTTCACCTTTCCTCTCAGATTTTCTGAAACCAGGGTGCAGAGCTGCTGGCAGGTCTCAAACACCCAGAAGGCTGCAGGCAACATGTGCACGCTCAGGCCCGTCCTTCAAGACACAATAAATTCTTCCAACAACAATTCCCATTACATTGCCCTAAGCAAGCTGCAGGGCTTTTCTTCTTCAGCATCTCCCCACTCACTCTCAAACCTGCCACACAAGCCTGACTTATTCCCACAGCTCTTCCCTTTAGGTGAGCTCTTCCAGCTGTTTAGCAATGGTTCTTCCCCATCCCTCTCCTGCAATCCGAGCACCGGATGTAGGTCTCTGCAGTTTGTACATCTGCACGCGCCACAGGTGGAAACAACCGAGCAAGAGCAGAAATGCAGAGCCCCAGCTTGGCCACAGATCTAAGTGGCCTTACCAGGCCCCCTCTGTGCTGCTCTGCAGTGGTAACAGTAGCATGGGTGTATGAGACCTTGCCTCCTGAAGGATGCCTGGATGCTTTTAGGTCACATAGCCAAAATATCCAAACCTTTCCTCTCCAAAACCCACATCACCCAAAACCAGGGAACGTCTCTCAGCCTGTACTATTTGCGCTGACAAGTGCCCTGGATAAATTCGACGTGGCCTGGACCAGGCAGAGAAGCAGGAGCCTTCTGCAGAGAGGCTGCTAACACACCACTGGGAAGTGAGATGCTGCAAAAGGGAGCAGTTAGTTCACACAATGGAATAACCCTGCTTGGAAATTAGCCAGGCTAATCTGGAGTAAAGCAAGGGTACGGCAACAGGGCAGTTATGCATCTTGCTCTGGCTTTAGAGGCACAAGGTCAAGCTTCACTCCAGACCTGTGCAGCCCCCAGTTGGCGTGGGGGTACCTGGTCATCTGGGCTGGGGTTGGGTGCTGCCCAGATGTGATGCTGAGTAAAGAAACTGGTGCACCTTAACGCTGCCGGACTGATGGGCTGCTCAGCTCGGCCCAACTGTGACTTCCAAACCCAGCAGGAGTGAGAGCTGGGAGGAGTTGAGGTTGACTGATAACAGGATTTAAAAGAGAAGATTCTTCCCGTATCACAAGTGATCGCACAGCAGAGCTGCAGGGTGGCCTGTAAAGCCATTACCAGCGAGACTCAGTGTAAATTCAGGCCAGCACAATGGGGGGTTCAAAATACATTAGGCACTTCTATTAATACTGCACCTCATAAATGATTATAATGATTATGCCTAACTCACTTGCAACAAGGTATCAGCTTTGTTCAGAGTTGAAGAGAAAGTCATAGCAGGAAGCTGTCACAAGTATCCATGCACAGGGTTTTGCACTCAGCTGCCTCCTGGCTTTTCCTAATGAGATCCCCTGCCCTGATACGTACACTCAGGACTCGTGTTTGTTTAGGCGGCATGCCCAGGAGACGCAGAATGAAATCTGCTTGAATTCAAATGCATTGTCAATACTTGATAAAGCAGAAAAACGTAAAGTACAATCAAACTCAGAAAACTGATGGTGAAAACAGGACCTTGCTATTCAACAAACCTTCTCTCCAGGTGTCTTTGAGCCTCAGCTGCTGATTTCACCAATCAAATGAAGCTGTTTACTCTGGATAGGAGCACAACGCAGGGATATGGCATTGGGCAGGGGCTCCGGGAAGCCTCAGAGCAATATTCGGCAATGGTTTCCAACTGGTGGTCTCAATTCTAAGTTTAAGAAAAAAAAAGGGACCTTCCCTTATATTTACATGGTGTGTGTGTGTGTATGTGTGTGTAGTCTGGCAAGGAATACTTGACCTCAGAGGATAAATGTGTGTGGGTAATGGGAAAGCAATATTCCTGCTGCTGTGGATTTTAACTTGTGCAATATGTCTTCTCCCAACTAAGGCCCGGGAAAACAAGCTGCTTATTCGTTGCTACTGTTGGATTTCTGTCGTGGGGAGCCTAGGAGCCCCACACTTGGACAAGGTCCTACTGCACTAGGCACTGTATAAACAAGGAGCCAAAGAGCAATGCCGGTCACAGAGGACTTACAAACTCAGTCTACGGCAACAGATGGATACAGGCAGACGTAGGAGTACCAGGAAACGATGAGATAGTATTGGTTTGACGGACGGTGATCTCAGGGAATGCTGGGCCTGATTCTCATTGACAACTTTGCTTAGAGTGAATTCAGATGATTGATTTGAAGGCCCGTGTCCATCGTAAGAATAGTGTAACTCTGCAAGGTATCTGAGAATCAGGCCCTTAAGCACTGTGTCTCAACTCCCTTTCTGGAAAACAGGGGTAAAAACACTCCCGTGTCGGTTTTGGGAAGCCGGGCTGCTTCTGTCCTGTTCTGATCCAAACTGTGGTACCAAACCACTCGCAAACCCTCAGGGAGTTTAGATCAGGATTCAGCTTCCTCTGTCTTCAGCTCCAATAGCAAAAGTTTTTGTACCTAGTGAGGTGTATAAGAGGGAAAAAAAGAGTTCAGGTAGCTTTTCAAATCCCACCTGTGTGCAGCCCGAGACGCATCATCTTTCTACCTGCTTGCATCCGAGTTGAAATATGCACAGAAGCTCCAGTGTAGTCATGCACATAAGCTGCAATTGTGTTTATTCGTTATTATTCTTATTTACCCATGAAGTGGTACTGATTAACACTGGATAAATGTATACTAATAGACATAGCCTCTATCCAAAGAGCTTATGGTCTAATTTACGACAAGTGGAAATGGAAAATAGGTGGCATGGGGAACACTTGTGAAAAGCGGTACAGTTCTGAGCAATGGGTAAGCCACAGTCATAGCTCTCGAGATGCCTAGCTTGTGGTTAAGTGTATTGTTAAAAGAAGCATCCGAGATAATATAGTTGTTGTATTTAAAAAGTCACTTTTGTTAACAGAGAAAAAAAATAGCTTGGCTTGCATATGTGCGTTAAGGGAAAAATAGTGAGAGCTGGTCAGGTGGAGGATCCAGTTCAAAATGCTGCAAAAGCAGCATGACTCTTGGACGTCAGGTGCGTGCAGGGGGAGGCACCGCAGGGGTCAAGGGAACGTTGCAGCAGGAAGCGCATAAGCAGATTTTTGATGCCCTAGAGAAGACTGAAAATAAGGAGCCTGCTTAGCTTAGGAGACGAGAGTACACTGCTTTGCCTATTTAGCTCACTGTATGGGGGCTGCCTTGGCACAAGTATTAATGACTTGGGGGTTTCAGTGCAGAGAAACAAAAAGATCAAGCGGGTTGCAATCAAGAGAGGATACAGTTGGGAAACACAAAAAAAAGGCAAGGCAAACCATATCCTGGAGAGGACAGAAACTGAAACAGAGAGGATCCGAATGGGAATAGTCTGGATCAGCAGCAGCTGGAGGTGGAGCTGTTCAAAGGCTTTCTGTCCACATTATTTTTCAATAGAACAAATTTTCACAAAAAAAATAAATTCTTTTTGGCTTGCAGCTTCTTGATAAACACCTGAAAAAATTATAAATCTGTGAAGGGGGTTGTTTGGTTTTCTTAATTGGTTCAGGGGGGTTGAAAATAAATTCCCAACCATGCTTAAATACAGCCAAGTCAGACAAGAAAAAGGGCACCTTGTGAACGTGGAGCGAGCCTCATCACATCTGGATGCTCACCTTGCTGGGGCCATCTGACCCCAGCAGTCTTTCCTGCCCAAGTGCAGTGGGGCTGGACCTGATGACCTCTACGGTCCCTTCCAGCCCCTAACAACCACGACTCAGGCAGCACTTGACAGACAGCCCCTGACTGGGAACAACTGACTTAAGGGAGTGGGGATTTTGTAGCTAGAAGCTGGGCTCTGGAACAGATGCTGTGAGTAAATTGCCCCTCTTTTCTCTTGCAGGTTTGCTGTCCCCACTCCACAATAAAGACTCAGTTTGCTGGGCCATAAACTCTGATCCAGAGGCCCATGATGGGAGCGGCAACGGAACTTATTTTTGTGTCATTAGCCATCATCTTCCTTACGGGTAAGAGCAGCTTCCCGGCCCAGAGACTGGGCGTGCGTCCTGTGCAGTGGCACCTATTAGCTAGCGGATACTCGGCAGCTGAGGCGTGAATCAGGTTGTTTGGGCCCTCCTCAAAAATGCCAAGCGTGGAACGATCGGGGTCAAAAGATTTGCAGATTGTGTGGCATGTATCCCGCGTGTGCTATACGTGGCGTATGGGATCAAGCGTCGTTTGTACAGCTCAGGGGCACAACTTCGTGTCATATCATGTCACCTTCATAGAAATTTGTCACAATGAGGGTGACACAGCACTAGAACAAGCCCAAGGCCTTGTCTTGAGGCACCAGGCCTGCAAAACAGTTCTGTCCCCCTTTAGTAAGTCCTGGTCCTGTGCATGGAGGTGAGTCCCCCCCCCCGACATCAGCAGGTCCCACAGCTGAGGCCACCATCCCTCACTGCCTTTCCAGAGATGCAGATCCCCGTGTGCCAGTCACTACGGATGGGGGCTCAAGGCATTTCAGCCTGCACTTTGAAGGGCCACTGTCAGCAGGGAGACCTTTCGTTTTAGACAGCTGAGAATTAGATCATGTCTTGGAGCTAATTCCCCATCCTGGGGAGAGGCTGCTCCACTGTCCCTTATAAATATCTAATTACCTTTCAATGTTTTCTGGGTCCCCGAGGAGTAAGAGAGGGATGGCTGGCCTAGATCGGGAGGCAATTAGCCTGTTTGGAAAGCACTGTGACCCACATATGGTGGAGACAGCAAGGCAGAGTTGGGCTTCTCCATTAACCAGATGAGTCCATGCGAGACGCTCTCCACTTGAGCCAAGACCATAAAGAATGAGTCATTACAAAACCCCGTGGGGGCATTTCCTTTGACCTTTAACTTCTGATGCAACTGATCTCATAAGCCAAGACCAAGATGGGGAAAGTCACTGCTGCAACTATGAACAAAGAGCCGGGAGAAATAACGTGAGATATAACTGCATCCCAAAGAGTAGAGCAGGGGCCTTTGTACCTGCATGTCCTATTCCCAGCTCAGCCTCTGGTAGCCTGTGGGATGCTGGGCCAAACCTGTCACTCCTCTACAAGCTTGTAAAGTGGCCTCAGAGATGCTGCAAAGATCAAAGCCTTTCACAGGGCAATAATATCAAAAAAATCAAGAGTCTCTAAACCTCTCTCTGCAACTTCATTGGAAAGAGCACTAAGAAAAAGCTTGAAGTCTGTGACTAAGAAAAGCTCTGTCCATTTTATTCCCATGAGAAAGCCTGAAATCTTTAAAAATAGCCCCTTTGATTTTTGTGTTTGCATATTCAGATTCACTATCAAACCAATTAGTTTCCCAACTCTCTCATGTGCCAGCCTTCAGGCTGGGGCCAGTGCTCCAGAGCAATGAATGTGCTGTCTGTGCTATATAATGAGACCGCTGCTGACGCAACTTTGAAGTGGAGAGCACAACTGCAATGCTGAGGCTGCCTTCATGGCTTCCTCAGCTGGTGTACAGGACTTCACGTAAGGCCAAAGAATCCAAGTTCCCAGACAACTGGGCTTTCCAGATCTGGCATTCAGCATATTCAGAGCAATTAAAAGGAAAAGAAATAGCAGGCTGGCAGAAATCAGCCAGTTCTGCTGTACCAGATGAAGCTATGCTGTTACCTCACTGTCTTGCTGCAGTGGAAAAGGAGATGTGGTTTCAGTTTGGTCTATTCCAGTAATACCTGATGTAGCTTTTTTATATCAGTAGCAATCGCCATGCCATTAGTGTAATATTCCAGGGTGTAACATTTCTCTCTCTCTGTGCTAAAACAGAAACCCTGTCCCAGAGCAGTGTCTGAAATGGCCAAGCGTCTTCTGCAGCCATTTTTTTCCAGCCGTCAGGATTACCTGGATGTTCTACGTTTCCCCTTTTCCCACTAATTTTGGAGTCCGAGTTATTCTTTCAAGCACATTTCATTCCAGTCAGATGCCGTGTTCGAGATACAGGTGTTGTATGCCTTACACCGCTAGCTGCACTGCCTCAGACACAAAGTCAAGAGGTCAGGTAGAGCAGAAGCTGTTCCATTTTTCATGGGATGTTCCTAGTTCTCACTGGATCACGCTATTCTCTGCAAACGAGACTAGCAGGACATTAAGGTGCGTTTCTGTTTATCCTTGGGCTGTTGAAAATTTGCACCTGGACTTTCTCACCTGCTCATGCGGCCTCTCACTGTTGTATCAAGATGACAGTGTCCCAAGAGACAACATTAAAAAAGATGATTGCTCTGGGAGGTGACTTGCCCTATGGCACACAACAGCATCAGACAGATGGAGAGGTTTCTGTTCTTTCACTCTAACCTGCCGGGAACTTTGAATTTTTTATTTTTAACCTTGATTTGATGCTTCTTTTGCTGAATGTGTGAAATCCAGGCATTTTACTCCGACACCTTGAAATCATAGATACTAGCTTGTGAGCAATGCAAAAATTCAGACAAGTAGGGAAATCAATGCCAGCCAGCTGCCATCCAGAGCCTCTGCAGAGAGAGGAGAGGGACAGCAGACTACAGCAACAGTGATGCGGGCTTTGGGTGGAATTAGGAAGAAAGATCAGTGAAGCCTGGCCTCCGGAGCTTAGGCAATAGCATCCCGCCCATGCATCTGAGCTTTAATAATATGGCTTTAAACTCCAATGACTTAAATGCAGATCTTGCTGCATAGCTGTTAAGCCTTGGTACATTTGCTTTTAACTATAGGAGCATAATTAATATGCAGCAATCTTATTAACTCTACATTACATCCTGATTATTCTTTCTGCTGCCTATTGGTGTTAAGTCGGCACAGAGTGATCTCCAGCTGAGCCAGCTCAGCACAGCTGCTCCTGACTCAAGGAGAGGAAGAGACCCCCTGCTTTCATTACTTTCTCTTCCAGAAGGCAGCTCTTCCAACAGGGAAGTGGAGGGTATCTCCATGGGGTTGGGAAGGGATGAGTGATGATGACACTCCACGGTGCTGCTCTCGAACGTCACTAACAATAGGGCAGGGCTTGGGTGACTTGTGTAAGCAACTGTTCACCAATATAATGGTGAGGGGCACAGTCTGTGCCCCATGGATACCCCTGCACCACAAAGGACCCTGTCTGAGTCCAGCTCGCTGGCAGAAGCATCTTCAAGCACCCTGTTGGGGCTGATCAGAGGACTCAACTAATTGGCTAACGTGTGCACACCAGAGTGCAGACAGTGCTAAGCCACCAGCTGCTTGGGGTGGACGCGGCCAATTAACAAAGTCCCTCTCCTCTCTTGCTGTCACCCCACATGCGACAGCAGCCTGAACATGAAACAAGGGCCCCATGAGCTACAGGTAAAGGGCGGCCTCACCCCAGAAATCCGCGCCACGCTGGGCCTGTCCCAGCTGGAAGTCACTCCTGAATAAAACATCAGGCCTCCTGGAGTCACTTAATTTACCCAGTGACCATGCTGCGTCCTGCCGGGAAGGAGACAGATTGGCGGCTGGCAAGGTAGCTTTCAGACAGTTATTCATTCAATTAGAAAGTCCTTGAGGAGCTTTCCCCTGGACTGGCCCAGCTCCCCAAGCTTAACCTTTTAGGGGCAAGAGGAATCACACTGTGGAGCATGCTGCCTTGAGGTAGCTCCATTTCAGCTGAGGGATGGGCTCATTGTAGGGTGATAAAGGCAGGAAAGCAAAACTCTCCTGGATCTTTTCTTGCTAGCTGCTTCTGCTGTGCTGTATTTTTAAGGTGTCAGGTATCCAGGATATATTTTCAAGGTGAATTTTATTC